ACAAGGCATTTTTCCATTTAATAAAGAAAATGTTTCTATTAAATGATAAATAATGATAGATCCAATTAATGCACCTAATTGTACATTAACACCATACCAAAACATTCCATTTGAAGAATAATTTTGAACATAATATGCAATAATCGAACGAGAATATCCCAGAAGTACATGAGTACTAAGCCAAATAATTAATATAAGAGTATTACCTTTTATTTTATCAACATTTGATGGACATGAACTCTTAAATGCAAAAAAACATATCAAATGAAAACGTTATTGATCTACATACAATTAAAATAAATATATGAAGCTTAGATATTAAAGGTTTTGTTACACCGAGTATCCAAATAAATGTTTGCATTCATGATGATAGAATTGTACATAAATAAAAAACTCAATGTTCAGTTGGGATTAACAGATAAGTTGAAACTGAAAGACGTATTCCAAATAGTATTGAACTTGCGTAAGCACATCCTAGCAGAAGATTAAGAAAAGGTGTTTTATTTAAATAAAATGATTCTGATGCAATTGGTTTTTCTTCGACAAAACTATTTATAGTTTTAATATCGTCTTCAATTAATTGTAAACATATTTTAAGTATATTTTGACGTGTTGTTCGAGCAACTTGTAGCCATTGAAATAATAATACAAAGAAAATTAATGAGATTGTTAAAAGAAAAAATAAACATAAAAAATAGATAGAAGCTGGAAATTGAGCAGTTTTAGAAAAAGCTGTTGTAATATTGGTTCAATTAATCAATGGTGTACAATGAAAACCTGTGCAAGATATACACTAAGTTTCCAATATTCGAGTTGTGTTAATACAATTTGTAGTAATTCAACAGATATTCCATCAATATCTGTCCCACTCAAAGCTCATTTATTTTAAATTACTTTAAAATACAAATATTTTATGATTAAAAACAAAAAGATTTGTATTATGACTGAATATTTGCACAAATAGTATGTGCAAGAAAGAGCTATCCCTTGTCGATATTTCGCATATATTTTATTTTTTATTCTCTTTCGTGTTGCATTTTGATAAATAATATACTTAGAAAATATACCAGACACGTAAGAATAAAGGTCAACATAATCAATACCCTTTTCTAAACCATAACAAAAGTGGTATTTTACGTTCATAATTATCAAAATAATGATGTTGCTCATTATCATCAAGTAGATTTGTTTTCTCTTGAAAAATAATTATTATGATTAATATCTGTTGATAGTTGAGAAATGAGTTGTTGAAGAAGATCATGAACGGAAAGAGTGTCACCAGTAGATTGCAGATTATTTTCTTACTTTTTTTTATTCGAAGAAGATATGGTGAACGAGGAAGTGTTGAAATAGATTGATTATGATTCATTTATTTCTTATTCTATTGCTAAGGGTTAAAAAAAACAGGTACATACATGAATAGTTTATTTAAATAAATAATTAACATGTTAGTTAAGTTTATTTTATATGCCGAAATAAGAAAAAACAGAAATAAAAGAAAAATATTAGTAGAAATGAAATGATATCACCATTTTTTAACAAATTGTCCAAAGTCCATGAAATTTGGGCTACTAGTGAAACTAAATGAGATCCCTTAGCTATAAAATTTTCAGCTGGACATATCTTGCTGAAGATAATTTAAAAGGATAATACGTTTGTATTATTCTCAAAAGAATCACCGTTTTTTAGATCTAACAGCGCGATAAAAATTGCGTGATATGCAGTTGGATATAGCGTCGAATGTTCTACATGTCTATCTTTCTTTGAGTATTTTCTAAGACTCGTTGGAGTATTTTAAAAATGCGAGAAAAGTCAAGATTGTTTCTTTTTTCTATCAAAATTTTGACATTTTCACAAACAGTTCGTTTTGGTTATGTGTTTGGTATTTCCATTAAAAAATGTTGTCGCAAGGTTAAACTTTCATAAAAACTATCTCCTAATATGGGCTAGTATTGTTATTGATTTCAAGAGAAATGGTTTTCTTATTTGATGTGGATATTTACCAAATTGAGGCTAGAATAGAGGTCTTTATCTATATCAGCAACTCTTATACTGTGTATACTATTTTAAACACAATTTGTGTGTCAGATGGAGTAAAGCATTTCTCATTGTATCTATCAATGAACTTTGAACAATTACACTCATAGTTTTGGCGTAATTTGGCAAATATATTTCTGTGGTATGACTCGAAATATATCTTCATTATATGATAGAAATCAAAAATGATACACGATATTGTCGATATTTCTATAATGCCGATGTAGATTCTGTCTTTGACTTGTGCTATTCTAACAAAAATAGTAATAATGGGCGTAATTAATTACAATGAACAGGTATAGTGTGATCCTGGTGATGTGCAAATGACAAATACCACACTACACAGGCAGTATGTGCACAAAAACTTATAATTACGGCTCCTGTTTTGCATTGACAATAGGCCCATTAAATAGCATTTAATGGATCACCATCATTCGGGTAACACTTCTGACTATATTTTATCGGGTAATAATATTCTGTACAAGAGTAGTGTTGACTATGAATTTGACAACGAAGAATACTTGAATGACAAGGTTATGCCTGCAAAAAAAAGTCACCATTTCGTTCAAAAAGTTGTTCAGCATATATACGGGATTGCTGCAATTCATATGAACCAAAGAAAAGCGTGAGGAACTCACTTTTCTGTAACCTAGGAAATTTGATAATAGAAGTGTAGACATCCGTCTATTGAGCACGAGCACTGACAAGGGAATCTTCCGAGATGCTAAAAAGCTTTTCGACTGAGAATGTGATGGTTTGATAGGGCATAGCTAAGAGTAAAATACTCTACATTGATTCTGGCCCTAGTTGCTTCTAGAGTTTAGCTTACTCGAACGAGAAAAGATTTATTCGGTTTGAATTTTTATTGTGTCTATTCTAAGCAGTAGTCTTGGTCATTGGAAAGTTTCAGCTCAAAAGAATAAGGATGCAAGAAGAAAGAAATTTTTCAAAACCTTTTTTTTATCTTTATAACCTTTTATGTAGCACTGGTTGGTGAAAAAAGCTTGTCAGCGCAGCTCCTTTGGAGCTGAAATATGGAACTCACGTATATCCAGTTTTTCTCTATTACAATTATTTATATCTACTCCTATCTTAAGCTACAGATATGCTAATAACGTGACTTATACATCATTCATATAAACTCTTAGTTCTGATGTTCGCACCTGAAACTTTTAGGAAAACACGCACACTCTCGTTAAGACCTTTTGCCCATGCAAAGTTTGAAGTTGAAATTCGAAAATCAATTTTCTTACCTTCTTTTTTCAGAATCAAAATCAATTTAGGAGCGAAAGAAGTTCCGTCGCAAGTTCAGCATTCGACGAAAATTACTTTTTAATATTTACTATAGTACTCGATAGAAAATTTTTGAATAGAAACCCGTATTTACAGCGATTTGGAATGTTATCAAAAAAAACCAATCGACTTTCTTGAAGCAAAAGTAATTCTATTTAACCATGTCACAAATAAAATTAAAAGAAAAAAATATTTCGGATAAATATTCAGGCTACTGAGTACAGATGGCATACGAGACCACGTCCTTCTTTTTTGGTTTTGATTTGGAGAAAACCATTCCACAGCTTATTTGTATCACATCGAAACAGCTTCTTCAACATTTCTCATGGCTTCAGTAGTGAGCTGCGAACCCGAATACAAATTTCTGTGTTTTCGCAGGTCCGAACCTACAAATATGTTGTGATGAAACTTTAAAAGATACTCGGTAAGTTCTCTATCTACCCGTGCCCAAAAAAAGTATATTCCATAAATTTTGAATTGTTAATAGCTTCACTGATTGTTTTTTATTATTTATATCTTAAAATACATATGTTTTCTACTGGATGTATTTTGAACGTTATAATATTTTTAATGGATATCCTAAAGCTAAAACAACAACAACGATTTTACGTGATATTTATGCTGAACAATTTATCGATGGAGTTAAATTTTCATCACATAATCCAATTATGATTGTACCATTTGTTGTTAAAAATGGTTTCACGATTGCTGATGAAAATGTCATTGAAATGGTATTGTGTTCTACATTACATGATTAAAGTCGAACAGTACCGGGTAAAGTACAGTTGTGTGAAAGTGCATAATTTGTTGCAAAAATCTTTTAAATAAATTTCGATAAAAAAAAGTATTCTGAAAGTAAATAATGGAAGATTTATATTGCATTTGTTCCTAGTTTTTTCTTTCCATCTTTGTAGCCCATTTTTGTTTTGGTATGTTTATTATACATACGACGACGTGAATGGTAATTTAACGGCAGCTGTTGGGAAATCATAGGCTGTTAAAATGAATTCTATAAAAACTTGTAAGTGATTTTGTTTGTTTTCTTTTGTAGGATTGTAATTAAAAAAGTAACAGCAGATGGTTAACTTGAGATGAAAGATTTCATTCAATAATCAAAAATATCATTTGACTTATGTAGGATTCAAGAGTTCTTGTTTCGGGTTTTGCATTTAAAATACTTTTCAGAACTTCAAATATCTTTACCTCGTATTGAACTCGAATTAAAAGCTGAGCGTTATTATAAGGGTGAAAATGTTGTGGTAAAGCTTCTTTTTTTTTTTAATAGAATTTTTCTTTATTGAAGATATTTATTTTTATATATACATGAGACTACCAAAAATATAGTTAATGCTGAATCCGTCAATACTTTATGATTAACTTGAAAAATTGCATAAAACTGATGTTAATGTTGTTCTGTCAACACTACCTTTTGGTGATGTTGTATTACAATATTTTGTTAATCGGTAAAAGATTTGCCTTTTTAGTACCATCAATTTGAAACTCTAGCAACCATTTGTTGTTGGTCATTGTTGCATAGCTGAAGGACCTCCCTTGTAAGGTTGACATTCGACAAAAATTACTTTCTAATATAGAGATACTATTTCATAGAAAACATTTCAATACAAACCCGCATTTACAGCACGATTTGCAATCCTATGAAAAAAAGATGAACTTTTCCTGAAAGCATGAGCAATTTTTATTTTTTCTTAACTATATAATGCGAAAAATCAAAAGACAAAACCTACAGAATAAATATTGACACTAGAGAATACAGATACGCAGGACCAAGCGTTCTTGGCTTCAGTTTAGAGAAGACTATTCGAGAGCTTATTCATATCACATCGAAAATGCTGTGTCAATACTTCTTTTAAGATAACTCTCTCCAAGTCATAGAATATTTGACCATCATAGATTTGAAATTACAAAAGTGTATTCCGCAACGAATGAGACTAAGTGAAAAACAATATTTCGTTAAAATAAACTTGATAGTCTCTGTGCCCAATCACGCCCCTAAAAAGACTTTTCTTAATTTTCCAAACGTTGGCAACTTAACTAATTTTTGTGAATATTTAAATTTTAATAGAAATAGATTTTGTGCTGGACGTGTACAAGAAAATGATCTTAAATGGTGGATGTGGGTGTGGGTACGGATTTAGAGAACAACCATACCTCACACCCTGTTCAGTTTCATTTAGCCATTCAGTACATTTTTTGTAATGATGAATGAAATAATTCAATTGAATGAGCTAATTCAATTAATTCTTGTCCTTTTGTTAATGAAAACTATCTTATAATACTTTTTGTGAAACTGATATTATAGCAGATCGATCATATAATGAAAATTCTATATGGATAATAGATAAAAAAGTTCGTGAAATTCAAAATTGCATGACCATCATATGTTTGAACTACTTCAAAAGCTTTTTCTTGATAAATATACAAAATGAATTGACATCTTCAATTCCATTAGATCATTTTGAATAGTAAGAGCAAATAAAAATTCAATACAATCGTAAAAAGCTCATGTTAATCATTGTATAATTAAAAAGATAGTTACGTTTCAAACTTGTGAAATACTCTGTATTAGAAGTCAATGGAATTCTTGTAATAATTGGTTTATGAGAACTTCATTTTAGATTATGTGAGTTGAAATATAGCTATAACATATATATTTGAAATGATAATATCAGGCTTTCAGTAATTCATATTCACGTAAAACATGCGGATGAGCAGTTAATTGTCATATGAAAGAAAACTTCATAGTCGGTACCAACTTAGTTAATCGATATGAATCTGTCAATTGCCTAATGAAAATAAAAAGCCGTATGATAATTCTTGCGAAAAATTTCTTCATATGTTTATTTCAAAGAATAAATATGAGCATATCAATGAATGAAATAAGCAAAGAATATTTAAGAATGAACTTTTGAATATGAATAAAATAATTCTTTCAATGGAAAATAATCGGTTTATATTTAAAAAAAAAGAGTCATAAATATTTTTTGTTAATCTAAATAAATATTATTCTTAATAAGGGTCGAAATTCAAGTTAATTTTCGTTTGATATTTAGTTATTACTATCAACAAATACATAAAAGAGAACGTTTCTTTTGTCAGTATTCATTTAGTAATCATGAACTAGAAAAAAAATTTACTGTTCTTGTATTTTTTTTCGTCCAATTGTGTTCATTTAGAATCAATATTTATTTTATCATTTGCATCCATATCGTGTTCATCTTGTAGAACTGTTTTATCAGTTTGTGATGGTATATCTTGTTCAATATCAGTAGTCTTGTTTTCAATTAATAATATCAATATATTTATAAAATAAATGTTCATTAAATTATTCGAATACGTTCAAATTCATTATTCTCATCAATAATAGATGGAAATTAATTATCGCCAAATCATGTTGATTCACGTTCTAAGCGGTTTTGACAGATATTTAAAATCATTTCTATAATGTTCATTAAGGATCGTTTGAAATTTTATTTCATTAATTGAAAAATCATTAATTAATAGATTATTTTTTTTCTTTTTCATATTCAATATGTTCATGTGATGTTGAACATGAACAAATTTCTGATAATTGTTTCGATATATTATTAAAATATCTTTAGTTTGCTTCATTGTTGATCAATAATCATTTAATTGAAGAAATTTTTCATCAAGAACTAAATTTAAAAAAGAAATTATTTATTAATGACAAAAGTTTCCATAGTTTGAAAACGTTCCGAAACTCAAAATTCTTAGTAATGCATTATAATGACAAAATAAGGAAGATGAGAGGGTAAATGAGACTATGATTAAGAACTGATTTCATTTCGGTATTTCTCTATATTAATACTATGAAAACTTCAAAAACTATTACGTAAAGTATCTATATTTTTCTTCTACTAGAGAGGAGACCTTCTCTGTTGCCCGCATTCGAATTCAATGGTTTATTGCCTATAGATGTTCTAGTATCATCTAGTGAAAATTCTGAAAGAATTTGAGTTCTTATTGAGATTTGGCAAAGCTATTGAATTTTGAATATGTACTTTCACTAGAGTCATCCTTCGTAGAACTCGAAGTTTTCTGAAAATTTCTGTTTGTAAATTATTTCCTTGCAACTACCTCTATTTGAAAGTCTTACATACAATAAGTTGTGAAATTTTCAAAAGTAGACGCTTTTTGAAGCGTACACAATAATGGAAGAATATTTTGAAAAGTTCATAACTCGAAGATACTAAGTTTATAAATTCCGAAACTCTTCATACAAAATACTGCATTTGAAACCTTCAAGTAGAAACAATTTAAAGAAACAAATTCAAAAACATAACCTATATGTTTCATTACGATCAAAATTTCGCAGTTACGCGCAACTGCGACGCAGCCGTCAAAAAAGTGGCGACATGGGTAATGTATTTCTATTTTAAAAAGATTATGTGACAATTGGATAATCTTTTAGTTCTTAAG